GGATGAATTTGCATTTCCTTGTCTGCTATCTGTAAAAGCCCACCTCCCCAAGCTGCCTGCGAGCAGTCTTGGAGGCAGCAGCCCCGATTGCTCCTTTCCTTGCCCAACAAAATAAAGGCATCTTTCTGATCTCCCACCTTGGCCTCTTGCTTATTGGCTGTAAGGAGTCATGCCAAACAGAACCTGAGATTTCCACCGGGCAACACTATGGTTTATGCCAGGTTTTAAAAATTTTCCTATCAGGTTGAAACTTTTGAAATAAATAGTAGAGAAAAACTTCTTTATTTTGTTTTTTTCTGTTCTACCTCCTCTCCTTGAACTGCTGAGCAGAGAATCATCTAACTCCTAGAATGGGGATAAGTCATGTGGTTAAAAAGAAGAAAAAGGGAAAACTGTTAATATTGAAAAATATTGTCCTGTCACAGGTGGAAATCATTCTGAAACCACAAATGACCACACTTAGTTAAGTCCTTCCTTTAACATCATAAGCACGTCTAAGTTATCCTGCTCTGTATTTGTAGAGCAAATTCACAAAAGCAGTTTGGTAGACTTGCTCTAGATTTGAATACAGATATTCACCTGTTTAGTCACAAATGGGGCTACTGCATTTGTCGGTAAAATTCCTGTTCAATGCAGGGAAGAGTAACTAGTTGGCATTCAGCACTGAGACTTTGCAGAATTTGTGACAAATGATATGCTTTATTCTCTTTCTTATAAGCAGAACAGTCTGTCTACAGACTCCAACTTTTGGTAGCCCCTGTCCCTGTCCCAACCCATTATGAAAACTCTTCTTTCCATTTTTCCATTTCAAATAGGATGACACAGAAAGAGGGAAACTATGGTTGCTATGCAGCTTTCAATGTTAATTGACTTTGTTGTTGTTGTTTTTTTTTTGGTCAATTTTTATAGTGACAGAGAAAAATTGTTTTTTTTTGGTGGAGGAGGGAATTATTTTATCATATCTATTTCAATTCTCTTAAATTTGAGAAAATAAGAAAATGTTTTCAAGGCTACTCCCTCCTTTCTTA